ATTTTTATAGCCTGTAAGTTTTGGTTCACTAATTTTATTGCATTGAATGCTATTGTATTGTATGATGTTCTGTTTTAAGAAATAATTATGACAAATCATATGAATTAGAACACAAAATGACATGAATGTAATTTTTAAAAATGTTGTTAAATAACAAATAACTTAATGTTGCAAAACATACCTGAAAATGCTATTTATTGCATTAATCAGGATAAAAAATAAAATTATGATATAAATAAAGTTTGATAATGATTACATTATACGATTTGTGATTCAGTAATTTTTATTACACTGTCTTGTAATCAAGGGTAGACAAACAATTCATATTATATGAATTAGAACACAAAATGACATGAATGTAATTTAAAAAAAATTATTATGCCTTATTGTTTAATAACAAATAACTTAACGTTGCAAAACATACCTGAAAATGCTATTTCTTTCATTAATCAGGATAAAAAAAAAATAAAATTATGATATGAATAAAGTTTGATAATGATTAAATTACGATTTGTGATTCACAAATTTTTATTACACTGTCCTGTAATCAAGGCTAGACAAACAATTCAAATGATCAACATCGCACTGATTCTAAAGACAAAAACAGTGACAATTATAATTGCATTTCGAATACGGTAAGGCAGTATAAGCTGCGGTAAATCTCAGCTAGCACGAATCATCGGATAAATGCTATGCTACTAAGCTAACTAAAAACACTAAGAACGAGAAATGTTTAAATGTACAATCTACAGCTTCGGTTATATACTAGTATATAAAACATACAAGTTAAAATATATTAATGACTCGTTATAACGTACTTCAAACGTCTCTTTTAATAAAGTGATTTGTAACCAGGCTTTAAAGCGATTACCCATAAAACTAGCTTTGAACCAATCGGATCGCTTGGGTCCTAAGGTGGGACTCATCTCTTCAGGCGGACCCATCTCTTCACCACACCGGACTTCCCATCACTACTTCCTTGAACGAGCGCCGGCGCGCGCATGCGCGTGAATAGTACTACGTAGTACGCAATAATTCTGACTAAAATAAACATATTGCTAAAATATTTGTTGTTGGAGAAAATAAATGTGCCATATGTGGAATTTTAAACCTACAAGTATATATTTTTAATGAAAGTGAAAGTGATTATAATGGGGTAATCAAATGCAGGCTAATATAATTAGTTTGTGCTTTTGTTTTTGTTTTTATTTTCATTTTTAGTTTAGCTTTTAGTCAATATAAAAACAAAAGCTTTTTGCACATAATATATTGCATAGCCTATATTATATTTGTTTCCATATCCTTCAATATCAACATTGTTTGTAGGGTATCATTGGGCCGAATGTGAATATATATATATATATATATATATATATATATATATATTATTTTTTTTTTTTACAATATAAAGATTTTCTTTATCTAAATAGAAAACGTAGAAAGTACCGAGATATATCGTATATCGCCATTTGACCAAAAAATATCGAGATATGATTTTTTGGCCATATCGCCCAGCCCTATGTTGGTCTATTTTTTATTAAAAAATAAATAAGGACACCTTTCATGCCACAAGTGACTTAATTTACATAAACTCCCTGTAGCAATATTTTTTTATTAATTGAAATAGAGCTAAAATAAATTACCCCAAAAGTAAAACTGAAATGAAACTAAAGATATATATAATTACTAATAGAGCCCGACCGATAAAGGATTTTGAAGGCCGATACCAATACAAATATTTGTTGGTTTGAAAATCCGATATTACGATATATATCGCCTGATTTATATATATATATATTTTTTTTTTAACTTATTTTATTTACTAGATCTAACGTACTGACTAATGTCGTCATCCCACTACCATATTGTTTATACACATTTCCAGACACGTTCACTACAGTATTGTTACTTCCTACGATCTTACTGATACACTGAAACTGTTCAGTTTAGTTCACTAACCGTTTTCATTATCATATTATACATTCACCTGTGTTGACATTGCTGATTGTGAAAGATACACGAATAGTTAGAGAAATGGCTTATGCTATACTAAATGCAGTTTATTGTAACATTATGATCATGGTACGAGCACAGAGCATTACTTCAACGTCAAGCTGATAAAAGTAGGCTATTATTGTACCTGCAGTGGGAGTATACATTAGTTTCCAGCATGTGTGATAATTTCGCGTTGCGTTGAAAGTCTCCGTGTGGCTGGTAGTGAATGATTGCTCGCTCTTGAGATTGAGCACGAGCACGAGCGCTCTTGTTGCATTCTGAAACATCACCGCTAGAGGTCGCTAAACGTTGCATACAGCATCTTTAACTATTTTTCAAAAGCTTAAAAACTCAAAATTCATCCACTGAAAACCGTTTTGAAATCGGACATTACGATACAATGGAAAGGGTACTTTACAACCTTTTAGCAGGCTCCTCCTCCTAGCGTTTCATTTCTTTCATTTGACAAAATTTAAATAATCTCTTATAATCAATTTTTTTCTAATCTTGACAAAATACATTGTCTGAGACTCAAGGGTGGCATACATGGAGATTGTTTTGTGATAGAAGAGACACGGTGAAGAACGAATAGAAAAAAAAAAGTCAGTGGAGTGTGGTTGTCATCTGGTGGCTATTGTTGGTATTACGGCTAAACTTTTTTTTGCGATATCAAATTTGGAATTCAACTTTTTTAGACGTATTGGTTTGGTTTTATAAAACATTTTAGAGTAAAGATTATTGGCAACACTTTATTTTACAGTGTCCTTGTTACATAAGTTGCATGTACATACCTATCAACATTTGGATTCCTAAATACGGGAGATCTGAATGGGGGGGTTGGGTGGTAAATAAATATTAATTGCGCAGATAACATAACGAGATACATAATCTATGTATTACATAGTCTCCAATGCCATCTCTCTCATGATGGGCCACCCTCGGGATGCTGCTGTTCTTTTTCGTGCGATTTTTTACCCCCGAACTTCTTCAGCGGAAATCCCGCCCTGCAGCTGAATCTAAAGATTTTATTGGTCATGTGTATCATGTTTGATTTCCTACATCAAACACTGATCCCTAAACCTACCCGTAACCTTAATCATGGCGGGATTTCCACGGGCTTCTTCGTAAATGGGTTACACTTAGCTTCCTCCCGGTCAAAAAAGGACGAAGCCTTAAAATTTTACTTTAATTTTTCCCAGGATAACCATTCAAATATATTTTGTTCTATAACATTTTCTGATTATTATTAAGAATTTTTTATGATACTTTGCATTAACTATATAATTTTTATGAGCTATTTTTTTCATTAGAATTAATACATATATTTTTTTATTTTATATTTAATTATTTTTTTCAATAAATGCAATATTTCACATGAAAATAGAGTGCAGCCTAATAAAAAAAATGTTCAAGTAGAAGAGCGGCTTTAAAAAATAGTTACATGTGTGCAATGTCCTGTACCAGCCTGTAGGCTGCCTATAGCTTCCTAAATAAATACATAGAAAGGCCTTTTGATTCCTTTGTTGTTTTAGACATGATTTCTCTATCTTATCCAGGTTTTTTTTTTTATTATTATTTAGATATCCGAAAATACTACTCTTTTTTAACAATTTTTTTTTTAGATAAGTATCAGGTTTTGCATAATGATTACAATCAAACTATAGCATTTGGTTAGAAAGGGAACACAATGCAAACATTTTTGTTACTCAGTATTTGATCATTCAAATAATTGAACAAAATAAGGGATGGTTAGAGAAAATTCAAAACATTTTATACAGACATTTTGCAATAAATTGGTATTTTTAATAATTTTAATCCATTCAATAAGTAATAAAAACTTCAGAAGGGAATAGCAATTATGATCGAACAGATATAAACATAAAATAATGCTAATTAAGTTAATTTTCTGTGTGTGTGTGTGTGTTGCATTTGAGAGTCTCTTTTGTATTTTTATTTATTTTTGCATATTTTCACAATTAAATTTGCTGTTGCAGTCTTACCAGTTAATGTCTGTCTGTCTGTCTCTCTCTCTCTCTCTCTGTGTCTATGTGTGCATTGTTACAGTGGCAATGACAGGATTTTTAAATTTTTTAAATCATTTGCAATGTTTCCAGTCGCATCTTTAGGGATTTTGCAACTGTTTACCATGTGTTGTTGTCCACAGAGATGAATTTAGAGGTTTCTGCACACATTGCAGCAAAAGACAGCTGAATTTGTTAAATACAAATGAAAAAATGCTCATTTAAAGAAAACTTGATTTAATAGAATTTAATAGAAAACTTAAGGTTTTTGCATCTGAACTCTTCTTCTCACACAGGTTTACTTCACTGCATTACAATTAAATCCTAATATATATATATATGGCCGTATAAATCGCCCTCCGCTTTAGTTATGTGGAAAGCAGAAGCTAAGCTATATTGTAAATATTTATAAAGGGGTTGGAAAGACATCGGCATGCTTAAAAGATAACATATTCATTTTGGGGTTAAAAAATCCTTTAACAATTAAAACGGAACACATGAAGTCTAAAAGAAGGCAGTTTTTAAAATTAAAGCATTTTACTTTTTGAATTGGGCTTCTTTGAAATTGCAACATTTCCAGCTTGGCAACAAAATATTACAGGAAGTTCTTTTTGCCATTTTGTAATAAACATTACAACTGACATTAAGCAATAAACACTGAGTAGGACCAATGTCAATAACTCATGGTTTCTGAACAATGCGGTATTTCACAACGTCCCACCTGTACACTCCTCTCTGCAACCACTACATCATTACACACCTTTGCCTTAGCAATATCCTATTTTACATGCATCCATTTAGTCATTTACTGATTTCGATCCAATTCATTATTCAAGAGTGAAGTGTATCTAGAAAATGTATATTTCCATTAGTTTTTATATTAACTTGTATCCTGAGGAAACCCTAAATGTCTGCAATACTGTGAGTTGTGACATGTGTTTACCATGCTAAAGGTGTAAATCTCTGTGAGAGTATAAAGCTCACCTGAAGGCCTCTGGTTGAATGGGAGAATCAATCAGGAAAATAAGGACCAGCAGTGGGAAAAGCAGGAAAGCCACCAGTGAGAGTAACGTCACACGAAACACCTTCCCACTGTAAGTGCTGCAACGCACAACAGAACAACATGGTATACAATTATCAGACAAGGACACATTTCACATCAATTAAATTTAATTCAAATTAATCAAGTGCATACACATGTTTCCAAGTAAGCAATGAAGGCAGGTAGGTATGTCTTACCTTGTGTTTTTGTACTGGGGTTCATGGGTTTCGTCAGTAATTATTTGAGGTCTGTTTAACCTCCTGAACCGCAGTCCCTCGGGCTCATTCATTTTTCTTGTTGTGTCGACTCTCTCTCTCTCTCTCTCTCTGTTTAACCGCTAGGTTCACTAAAACATAAGGCTAAATAAACGCTGGTCCAAAAAACGAAGAATTTATTCACAACACCCCAAAGCCAGCGCAGTTCATAATGACGTGCACGCGACCCACGCGCGTTCTCGACAGCAGTCAGTGACGTGTGAGCGGAGAAACGATGAAACACTTTCAGCGACACAAGGGACATTCTTTCAAATTAAAAGTTTTTTTGTTCCTTTTTTTTTAGAAAGGCAGCAAAACGACTGAAACTGCTTACAGTAAATTAAATTTTGCTATTAATAAACAACCAAATAAATAAAACATTTTAAAGAATAAATACACGACTGAATCAAGAAATTATGGTTAATATGCTGAGCTTGTGGCTTGTACACGTCAAATAGGCTGCTTTAAATATCATTGGAACACAACTCTTAGAAACATAAATAATCTTGTAACAACATAACACATTAATACATAATATATAAAAACACTCTGGGTTACACTTTATTTTATTTATAATAAGTAAATTATTTATAATAAGTACATAGTTTGTACATTGAGAATAGGACTGTAAAAGAAAGTGCGATTACACTTTATTGAAGGTGTCTTTGTTACACTGTAATTATACATTTTGTACTAAGTAATATTAACATGTACTTACTATAGGGTTATGATTAGGGGTTGGTTTAGGGTCCGTTGCATGTAATTATGCATGATTTGCATGCTTTTGTTATTACTATAGTAACTGCATGTAACATCTAACAATGACTAAAATAAAGTGTTACCAACTTCTGTAGTGTTCATCTGTACTGTTTTGGAACTGCAGTGTATTTTAGTTGTTCTATGATCCCGTTATGAGTTTTAGTAATGGGTAAATTATTATTAAAAATCAATACTTTTTTGCAAGAATTTTGACTTTAATTGTGAAAATATTGTACTTGTCATATCTGCCTTCACACTGCTGGTTAACGGTGGCATAAGAGCCTATGTTAATGCTGCAATGGCTGTTATTAACTCTGAAAACATTCGTAGTAAAATTTGGATTGCCCTCAAGAGGCTTGATCTCAACGGTTGGTCTAATTTAATAATACTCTGTCCAAATGCATGTAGTTAAACAGTGGACAGCTGCGTAGCATCCTGGTTGCCATGGCAACATGAATAGATTTGCTGTAGATCCTCGCTTGTCTGTCTTTTTGCCACATTCATTATTTTTTACAATAAGAGTACAACATTTCTTATAAAATATCCTGAATTACTCTGAAATAGGCTAATTAAATCTGCCTTTCGGTCACTGTTGCTAAATGTATTGCGATGGATAAGCAACAGGTGCATCTGACAGGACTTTTACTGGTTAAACAAGATCAAGAATTACTGGTTACGACAAAAAAGAAAAAAACACTATATTATTTTGACTATGGCTTTGAATAATTGTTGCACAATTTTGTGCTGACATGCTAATCACATGCAAATGTAAAATATATAGCACAGGTACGTCTCTAAGATGTCTGCTAAAGAGCGCTTAATCTGGAAAACATCAAACATCTGATAAACGTCTTAGAAAAGGCAGTTTCATATTCTAAATCATAAACATCTTAAATACGTTTTTTAAATGTCTATTTAACATCTGACAGGAAAGTCATAGAGACACATTGCAGATTAGCATTGTGTTGAAAGAAATTTCCATTTCTTACTGAAATTATATCAGATTAGCAAACACTAAAAAATACAGCTTGCAGATGTAAATGCAGACATCAAATAGACATCTCTGTGATGTACGTGTGCTATAATATAAAGAGGGCTGACATTAACCAGTTATTTTACAGATAACAGGGTCACGGCCCTTCGGGAAGTTCACATTCCAACTGGGGCTAAAGTAACCACCATTAGACAAGTGCGTTTTATACCAGTTCTTCGGTTAGATATTAATATTCAAAATTTGTATATTAAATTGGTGTTCTCTCTCCTTACAGATACTTGCTCATTCTTTCAGGCTGGACACTTCTCAGTTAACGCTTAAGGTATTTTGACATGCGCAGACTTCCTGTGGTGATTGAAACCTTTCCTACCTGCTCTATATTTATATAAACAGAACTATTATGAAATCAATTTTCAGATGCGAAACAATCGAGGATCTCTAATTCCATTAAACTGCTGCATGCCTCCAAACAGCAAGCAAATGTAAGTCTACTTAAACAATCTTACAGTGTCAAAGATATACACTACAGGGCTGTTGAATGCTTGATTCTGATTGGTTGACAAACATTCTAAGGAATGCAATTATTTTAACGGAAACGCGTGGCTAAAGTAGTTCCAGACAGGTCTTGACCGCATTACACTTCCATATCACTCCGCCAAATGATTTCAGTTATTATTTCAAAGGTCATTTATTAAATTATAAACACTTTAAATTATGTCTCACTATAGTTTTAAGAACAAAAACCTGACAAATGTTTTAAAATTAAGGCTGTCAAACGATTAATCACGATTAATCGCATCCAAAATAAAAGTTTGTATTTACATAATATACTGTATGTGGGTGCACTGTGTATAATTATTTTATATAAATACACACACATGCTTGTATATATTTAAGAAATATTTTCATATATATACTGTATATAGATTTATACATAATTTATATTATATATAAATATAAATATTTTATATATAAATAATATTTTTTTTCTTAAATTTACATGCATGTGTGTGTATTTATATATGTACAAAATAATTATACAAAGTGCACCACCATATATTATGTAAACACAAACTTTTATTTTGGATACGATTAATCGCGATTAATCGTTTGACAGCCCTACTTAAAATACAACATCTGAACAATGTTTAAAAGTGTTGTAACCATATATATAGGCTAATATATATAAGCAGAATAATTGACTTTAGAATTGATTTTAGAATAATTCAAGGAAATAATTATATAAGCTTATACTTCCAAGCCTCAGTCAACAATAACAAAAGTAATTTCATTTTTCTTTCATTCACTTTTATTACAGGACAAAATTTGGACCCTAATGGAATTACGTTTCATGGACTTTATTAAAAATATTTATGAGGATATATTTTTTTAATAAAAATATTATATATAAAAGATCTAAATTTAATCAATCAATTGAAATAAATTCTTGAATATAATGAATAAATGTTACATTTTCACAATCATACTTATCAAATTCAAGTAGATCTAAATGCACAAGATATCATCACACAATAAACACATGAATACATTCTAGTATAAATGGCTGACATACATTTTTGACCTGGTAAATGTCTGATGGTCATTTCTTATTATATGGAAGAAAGAGGCCGCACTTTGCATAAACAGTTTATTTTAAAAAATAAACTGTCTATGCAAAGTGCGGCCACTTTCTTTCATATATGTAGAGGTATTGCACTCTTAAAATAAATACAAGTGTAACCATTGAGTGAAGCCTGCTCCAACCTCCATTCATTTCTTATTATATTAATCCTCTGTATTGACTACTCTTAATTTGTTAATTTGTTCATATTCTTTTTACTCAGGCCGTACATCCTTGAAGTGGCTAAAAACTACCAGCATGGTATGACAACTAATAATGATTCCCCCCCCCCCCCCCCCCCTCCAAGCTTTATCAAATCATATAAAAAAATCACTATTTCTCTTTATGAATATAGTCAACCCAAGACCCAGAAGTATTCCCGACTTGAATAAAACCTTGAAGTCTAGACTACAGAACATTGTGAAACAGGTGAGACGTTTGACGGATACTCCATTTGCAGTGTTTAACACTTCCTTGGTGGCAAAGTATGCAAATTTCAAACATTTATGACACATGGTGCTATTTCAGATCGAAAGATTAGAAGACCTGTTTCCTCAAATCAAGCTAAAACACCATGAAAAGATGACAAAGGTGAATGTCTGATCTTATAAACAACTTTCTTTCCTGTATAGATGTATTTCCTGTTGAAACAGGATGTAGCTCACTCAAGTGTAAAACACTTTATATGTCTATATGTCACAGAAGAACCATGATTTGCCATTTTCTATTGTGAATGAAGGTTGTATTAGATTAGCAAAAATGTCTTTAAAATCATCATCAGTATCATTTTTGTTTTCCATGAAGATTCAGATTGTGCATTTTATATGCATGCCTGTGCTATTAGTGAATTCTGTCAACTTTAAATGCCCGTTCACACCAAGAACGATAGCTATAAAGATAATGATATTAGAGTCCACGCCAGCGGATGATATTGCTGTGTTTATTATAACCACGCTTCAGTTTTGTCCTCTGTCACTTTAAATGCTCAGGATGACTCCGATGTTTTTTATCATTGATGTGCTGGGAAAAATCAGTCCGAAAGTGATTCAGACGATATCGTTTCACTGTGCCGTTTTCGTCATAGTTGTGATGTGGACTCTGTTATTATTTTATTTTAAGAACAATTTTCAACTTGATCGTCCTTTGTGGGCGGGTCTTTAAGTGTGCACTAGCATATGGCAAAACATTTGTCTCTAAAAAAGTAGTAATATCCTCCTAATTAATTCTATGCCTTTCATTGCAGGAGATTGAGTTACTGAATCAAAAGCTGGTATTTCTTCACAAACGAATGCAGGTAAAATGTCATTCCTTATTTGTTATCATAAATATTGTAAATGAACAATCTCTTTAATTATATTGAATATTGCATATTTAAAATGACTTTAACATTTAAAATGCGAGGCAATCTCAGATTGACTAAAATAACAGTTCGGATTTGATTGGTTTTAGACGTCCGAGTGCTATTGCTGGGAGGGGATGCTGAGAAGAGCTCCGCTGTGGTGAATGATGCTCAATAATGTACAGTATAAGCACTGACTAACATGACCAATAACATCTTAGAGTAGAATCTGTCTGTTCTTCAGTTTTTGTTTAAATCTATAGAGAATCGGAATGATTTTTCTTGTGGTGTGTATCTCATCATTTATTTTATCTGTTTTTCAATATCACCTGGCCTCAAAAACACATGTTTGACCTGTAAATGACGTTATGAAATATGTTTCGGAGTCGTTTTTCCAATGTCTTTTATCCAGTTGGTGTCCTAACAGTGTGACCACATGTGAAGAGAATCACATTACATGATCCATTAAGATTTCATAACCCACAATCTAATGTAATGGCATTCATACGTTGCAGATAAGTTTTGGCATTACTATAATATATGCAAACAGAACATTTCAAATGTGTAAAGCAGTTTATAAAGTTTGAAAACCCATTGAAAGAAAATGAAAATTCTATTTTTTTCAAAGTGCATCAGCATATTGTGTAAGTAACCCTGGATCACAAAACCAGTCACAAGTCGCACGGGTATATTTGTGGCAATGGCCAACAATACATTGTACGGGTCAAAATTATCGATTCTTCTTTTATGCCAAAAATCATTAGGATATTAAGTAAAGATCATGTTTCATGGAGATATTGTATTTCCTACCATAAATATATATAAAAAATAATTTTGTGAGTGAAAGCAGCACAATCGCGAACATACACTCACCTAAAGGATTATTAGGAACACCATACTAATACTGTTTGACCCTTTTGCCTTCAGAACTGCCTTAATTCTACGTGGCATTGATTCAACAAGGTGCTGAAAGCATTCTTTAGAAATGTTGGCCCATATTGATAGGATAGCATCTTTTTGTGGGATGCACATCCAGGGCACGAAGCTCCCGTTCCACCACATCCCAAAGATGCTCTATTGGGTTGAGATCTGGTGACTGTGGGGGCCATTAGTATAGCTGATTAGCTGTTGTGGCCAATCCGCCTCAAGGTTGTGTGTGTGTTGTGGCTTCACAAATGCTTTGCTGCATACCTCGGTTGTAACGAGTGGTTATTTCAGTCAAAGTTGCTCTTCTATCAGCTTGAATCAGTCGGCCCATTCTCCTCTGACCTCTAGCGTCAACAAGGCATTTTCGCCCACAGGACTGCCGCATACTGGATGTTTTTCCCTTTTCACACCATTCTTTGTAAACCCTAGAAATGGTTGTGCGTGAAAATCCCAGTAACTGAGCAGATTGTGAAATACTCAGACACCAACAACCATGCCACGCTCAAAATTGCTTAAATCACCTTTCTTTCCCATTCTGACATTCAGTTTAGACTTCAGGAGATTGTCTTGACCAGGACCACACCCCTAAATGCATTGAAGCAACTGCCATGTGATTGGTTGATTTAGATAATTGCATTAATGAGAAATTGAACAGGTGTTCCTAATAATCCTTTAGGTGAGTGTTAATGGACAACTTTTTTGAACCCTCAGATTCCAGAACGTCAAATAGTCGTATTTCAGCCAAATATTGTCCTATCCTAATAAACCATAATCAATGGAAAGCTTATTTATTCAGCTTTCAGATGATGTTTAAAAAAATGTTGATCCAGGGTCACACATTTACAAATACATGAATGTTATGTCCATTGTGTTATTTTGAACATCAGTATGTTATGCTTGCATGTTAAGTGCTGTGACTGGTGGCCATCATTTTTCTTTTAAATGGCAATATTCAGTGTTGTCTTTCAATTAAAACTAGAGCCTAAAATGTCCATGCATTATAATTATACATATTTTAGACCAGTTACAATGGTGTAAGATGAAGTAAATCACTCTCATGTTAACATGATGACCATAAACAATGGAATATAATGACAGCATTTACATTAAACTTGTCAGATATGATTTTTCCCATTATGAACAGATCACTTCTCAATAGGCTAAAATTTGGATAGATTTTCTGCTGATTAGATTACCAAGAACTAAACAAACCGGTCAGAGAGAAACAACATTTTCTTAATGCTTGAACCCCAGTTCTCCACAAGAAACACAGCATCACAGTACTTGTCTCCACTTGTTTATTGATACAGAAAAGGCTGTAGTTCTGAGCAATGACTTATCGTTTCCCTGTACATCCCACAAAGATGTTCTGAAAAAGTAGCAAAATATATATTCCAAAATACGTTGTATATAAACCTTAATGAATGAACTGGCTGCTTCATGACAATGAAAAAAAAAGAAAACTTATTTTGCGGTGAGGACTTCCACTCCATAAATGCGGTTTACTGAATTCTTTCACATTGATCCCAATGTCAGCCTTCCCATTCAAAAGAATGAAGCCCATTTATTACACACATTAGGATCAATGCTCTTTTGCAAGCATGAAACAAGGGAGAAAGGAATGTCAATGTAAATCACCATCGCTGATCACTTCTACAGGATTATTTTATCTCTCGTATGAACGATGGCTTCATCAGGAAAAAATAGACCACCATCTCTTTCAAGTTATTTTTAAAAAAATGTATTGATCAATTACACACTGGTGTCCAGAAAAAAAGTCACAATTACTGACACAATGAACCACTACTAAAAAAAACAAAAACAAATCAAGTTGACGGTTACTGGAAAAACACTATGTACATAACCAAGGGTACGACGGACGAGACGGAAACATCAGGACTCGTGTCATCACCTCCGCTACCACACTGCTCTGTTCATTCCATTAGCGATTATAGACGGGCCAGTTAAATAAATCAGAACAACAAAAGAACAGACGGTGTGGTTAAACAGTTCTAGTTGCTTGCGTCTTTGAATGGTTTAAAAATTAAACGCTCTTTCTCAGGGAGCTATTCTTAAAATTTTTCCAAGTGGTCGGTCTGAATTGAAAAGGGGAAGGTGTCCTCAAAATAACAGCACATTCACCGACGGCACTTCTATTCAGTTTTGGATTTTTTGCTGTCGTTGCCGTTTTCCTCGGCCGTGGTTTCCTCGGACTTCCGCTTCTTGGTGCTCTCGGCGCCGCTGCTCCCGAGGTGCGGGGAGAAGGTGATGATTATACAGGTCATGTTGTCACAGCCTGTGCCGTCCCCTGAGGTGTCTGGGGCCAAGCAGTGGTCGAGCAGCTAGATGGTGAAAAATACACTTCTTGGTAAGTTTTTCATGGCTCCAGTCATAACGACAAGACAACATAATGACATTTTTAGCCATTTAATTGAAACAATAAAATAATTTGTTCAGGAGCAAATTAGTTCAAGGTGGCCATGATTTACGTTTTAATTATTTTAATTGACATTAATATATGCATTTTGGCATGTCATGTTGCTGAAAGAACCAAAAAACATCACACATAGGGATGTGCCCGAAGCCGAATCTGGACAATAAATGTATAACAATTTATAACAATAGTTAAAGGAGTAGTTCACTTTTAAAAAAAAAATTTTGCTGATAATTTACTCACCCCCATGTCATCCAAGATGTCCATGTCTTTCTTTCTCTAGTCGAAAAGAAATTAAGGTTTTTGATGAAAACATTCCAGGATTTTTCTCCATATAATGGACTTCAATGGGAACCAAACGGATCAAGGTCCAAAAGACAGTTTCTGTGCAAACTGTTCAAAAGGCTTTAAACGATTCCAGACGACGATGAATAAGGGTCTTATCAAGCGAAACGATCATTATAAAAAAAAGTATTATAAGCTCAAATGCTCGCCTTGCTCTGTTCTGTGATGCGCGATCGTGACTCTCCTGTTCGAACTCGTTTATCAAAATGAACAAATCTTTTTTCGAGTCAACTCGTTCATTTCGTTCTTTGAATGAACCAAATGACACAAAAAAAGATTTGTTCATTTTGATGAACGAGTTTGAACAGGAGAGACACGATCGCACATCACAGAACAGAGCAAGGCGAGCATTTGAGCTTGTAAAACTTAAACTTTGTTATTTTTTTGTTTTAAATGAGCGATCGTTTCGCTTGATAAGACCCTTATTCATCGTTTGGAATCGTTTAAAGCCCTTTGAACAGTTTGCACTAAACCGGTATTTTGGACCTTGAACCGTTTGGTTCCCATTGAAGTCCATTATATGGAGAAAAATCCTGGAATGTTTTCATCAAAAACCTTAATTTCTTTTTAACTGAAGAAAGAAAGATATGGACATCTTGGATGACATGGGGGTGAGTAAATTATCAGCAAAAGTTTTTTTTTTAAAGTGAACTACTGTAATGTATTATATTGAAATATATTTTTTCCTTCACCAGGTCCCCTTTAGGGGCTCCGTAGGATCCATCATCTCCTTTTCAAATTGGGCTTTGGGCACATCCAGTCACATTTTTCCAGCACTTACCTCTTCTACAATAGCAGATAGGGGTCTGCTTTTACCAGCCTCAGATTTAAATCTCTCATTCACAAAGTCCACCACTTCCTGACTGCTCATCACATTCCTTTAAACACACAAAGACAAATATAAACACAGACAATTTAATCTCGTCATTGGCTACTCATTACAGTTCTTATTTGTCTATTGCAAAAAAAAAATAAAAAAAAATATCAGCATTTCTCATGGCAGAGAGACATATATGGACCTGCATATTGCAATGAGAAGAATAGGAGAACTAGCATTACATTGAGTGACTAATTTTAAGCCTAGATGTTATGCACAAATGTTATCAAAGCAGAGAACCTGAATAAACACTAGAAGTCACACCGTTTTTCAGCCTTTTCTGTGATATTTTATCATTTAAAAGTGATTAACCAAACAATTCCAACCAAAACAGCTACTATGGCCAATTGCATGCAAAAGATTTATCCAAGAACTAAAAGCATTATGTAGTTAAAGGTAAATCAAGGTATCTTTTATAATACTTTTAGGCTAGAAGATCAGCAAAATAATCACAAATATCATAACTACTCAATTAACAACTTGCAAAAGCATGTTAATGCATTGTGAATAAGTAATACAACCAGCCCTAAAACACAACAACTCATGAAATCATGTTATTTGTGTCAGTCTTACCAGATGCCATCACAGGCAATAACCATGAACTCATGGTCTTCATTGAGAGTCAGCACTTTGACATCAGGCAGAGCAGAGATCATCTGTTCCTCTGGGGGAAGAACCTTGTTTCTTTTATAAAAGTGATCACCTACAAGAAAACAACCATTAGAGCGATGCAAGAAAACAACGTCAAACACAAAAGGAATATACGCAAAAGAACACTTCCATAAATAAGCAGCAGAATTACCAATAGCTCTGGAGAGGTTCAGGCCTCCATTGACACGTCCATCCATCGTCACCTTCCCACCAGCGTTCTTTATTCTGGTCAGCTCAAGCTCGTCCTCTGGTTTGTGGTCATAGGACATGTCCACCGCCTTACCCTTTTCAGACACCACACACCTGGAATCTCCAGCGTTGGCCACAATGAGCTGCTTCCCACGAATAAGAGCTACAACAGCTGTGGTGCCACTGTCTGAACCCGGCTGCAGAACGGATGACACGTGGAAATTAACAATGCATATGAGCACGTCATGAGGTCGTGTGAGCCAATCAAAGCATTCACATGAGGCAGAATGACTTAA